ATTCCATGGAGCTGCTTCTGTTTCAGGGTCCTGGTATTGTGCTGGTTGGTTCACTGTCATGGCTTACTGGGACACTTGAATAAAAGGCGCCCCATCGTTAATGTTATTAGTTGTCGTTTTTTTACAACCTCTTGTTGTATAACTGTGTATGGCATCACAGTAAATCCATACATCCAAAAACAGCATAACAATTACAAAAGACTAAGCTGCAACATTAAATTGAACAAAAAAGGTAACAAAGTTTTATAAAAAAAAAAAAATATGCAGGGCCTCTTTAGATTATATTGTTAATACCCGTGCTATATGACAGGTCAAAATGTCTGCCCTGAAAAAGGCCTATTATGTAAGGTAAGCGAACTTAACATGAGTAATAGAGAGTACAGGTGCATATGAGGCTGCAGGTATGATGTTGATCTCTATCAGCTGATGAACAATTAACAGCATGTAGTGCAGATGTTGTGCTCACAACAGCTAACAGCTCACAGCTTTTAAGTGTTGGGAGAGACGGTGCCTTTAGTCTGAAGTATTTGCAATGTAGTTGGAACACCTAAAAGTTTTCACAGATTAGTGGGCTATCAAAACCACTACTCTGCACGGTGTATTGTTGTAGACTAATTGTTCATCTGTGGCTTTAGCTGTTTAAGCATGTAATCATAGTGAAACAGTAGGCTATTATATTTGAGGTGGCTTTCTAACGACAAAGGCAGACATAACTTTGTTTGTTGTTGAACATAGATTTTTATGTTATCCCATGTTAATGCCAGTTATACGTGCAATGTTATTACATCTTTTCAGTCTAATTTTATCCCTAGTTTTGCTATCACCACTCACAGGTGGCATGGTCAAAATGGTGTGAATAAATGGCAATCTAAAGTTAATTCCCTGTATGACCATGTGCCTGGTTTGAGAAATGTGGCTGCTAATGAACTTTTAGCGTATACTCATTTTGACTTCCTTAACCCCAGAGACCTTGGATTAATCCACATGACTGTGAAAAGCTTGGTATCAAACCTGGACTCCATTAGAGTCTAGGGTCAAGAAACCTATCCAGATATTTGAATTCTAACAAAAACCTGGTTGACTTGTAAAATTAAGGATTATTTCTTGTGAGGAACTCTATGTCTCTATGTCTCTGCCAAAGGAATTCGAACTGCTAGCATTAAATGTCTCTCTAAATCCTAATAATAATATGGCAGTAATCAGGGCCTGTTTGGTCCTGGTTCAGCTGCCGTGTCTGCTCACTGGGAGCTGAAACCAGTCCGCACAGAGTAATGTGCGACACATCCTTCTGTAGCTTTGTGTTTTTACAGGAAACAGGGAGGCAAATAGCACTACGCCATCTGTTCCATAGAAATGTTCTGCTTAAAGTAATCCCTATGAGTAATCCCTGAAATGTACCTGTAATCTGATTGCGTCTTTTTTTTCTGTACTGTAACAGAATACAGCCACAAATTTTTTGTATCCTGATTACGTAACAAGTTACATGTAATCCATTACTCCCCAACCACTGCTTTTCTTCATGATTTATTTCTCTGTGGTATCACAAGGTTATGTTCTATTCCTGACCCCAAGCCATTTTTTAATTTTTATAAATAAGCATGCTCCCTTTTAAGAAATACAGAGTAAAAAATAGATCCTTAGTTCTCACCTTAAATCTCAGAGATGTTAAGGTAAGGGATGTAGCATGGGCAAAAGCACAAGGTTCAAAGTCCTCTACGGATTGGCAGATCTTTATAGTTGAGAAACAAATGTGTCAGGGCAATTAGAAATTCTAAGTCATGTTATTTTGTTGATACCCTGTCCGATTGTAAGCGACCTTAGTAAGCGACCCTTTTTTTTTAAATCATCACTTTTTAGACTTAGTAATATGGAATACCGTACTCCTTCACAATAATGCCTTCCCTTAGATATCCCATTTATGAAAAACTGAAAAATGTTAAACCTTAGAACAGTTTACACTTCTGTGTTTTATGTCCCTGTTTTTCATAATGTACCTGCTTTGTCTCTGTGTAATGTATCCGTTTTACTGTCTTTTTCTTTGTGTTTTTTTAACTATATAATTATCAATCTATCGAGCATTGTTTTGTGTTTTTTGGGTAATTTTTTTCTTTATATACCAGCAATGTATTTTCTGGGCTCCAGCTGCATGTGTAGCCTTAATTGTATGTACACTGGAGTTTGTTCCAAAATCAGTCCCTTGTTCACTCAATCACTACTACTTAGTATAGGCACATTGATACACATCAGGGTGCTGTGACCTTTGACCTCTGTCATATTGGATGTTTTGAATTTTCTTTATTGTTTATCAAAAGACATAAGCTGAACGGAGGGAATTTGACAATCCTTCAGCCTTGTCTTACTGGCTGTGTGTATGTGTGTGCCATTGTGTTCATTGTGTGTGTACTGTATGTTTGCCGTTGATGTGTGTGTGTGACCTTGTATGTGCCCCTCTGTGCTTTTCATGTTTGTCTTTGTGTGTTTATGTGTATGCGCTTGCTTTTAATATGTTTTTGCCTATGTGTGTTAGTGGTACTGCCTTTACATCTGTATCTGTGCTTGGGTGTATGTATGTGTGTGTGTCTGTGTGTTCTTTTGTGGGTGCAGCTGTCTGATTGCCATGGTGTCCTTACGCAAACGCTTATGCAACCATGCAGCCTGGTGGCTGATCTCCCTTTTGCTGTTTGTGCGTGCGCGCGTGCATCTGTGTGTTTATCCCTTTCTTGTCATTCCCAGACATGCCTGCGTCTGAAACCCAACCAGTCGCTGCCCTCTTTGAAGAGAGAGAGGATTAGCAATTAATTCTGATCTCTTTTTTTCAGAAACTTCATTAGAGTTTAACTTCTACAGGCTCTAATCTGATCTGTCGCCGTGACGACGTCCCACAGATGCGTGCACAAAGTTGCACGCATGCACATGTTTCCCTTTGTGCATTCTTGTGCCTCTGTGGTGTTGTATGTGCACATTTGTGGTCACGGGTGTGTATTAGGGCTTGTGTACAAATGCCTCTGTATGTGTGTCCTTAATTACACTTTAAAGCATAACAAAGTATAAACATGCAATATATAGATAATACTACAAGGTTGGTTGGCTGCTACTACTACTACTACTACTTATTATAATTTTATTATTATACAATTATTATTATTATTATTATATTACTAGTAATATTACAATTATTGCGTCTGTGTTGCTGCAGTTACTACGTACATGCTGCTTACTTATGTTGGCACTTTTTTCTACAATTTGCAAATATACTGTAACATGCAAACATTTAGATCAGATAATATTGTGAAGTGAAGGAAGAGGTAATCCTCCAGCAGGGGGAGCTATGTGTCTGCACAGCAGATGATGAACCAGAGCCAGTTCCCAACTGTATGTATACCTGAACAAGTCATTTCTTGTGGTCTGAAGTCATTAAATATCAAACTAAATATTGAAAGAATCTACCAGAGGGGAGAAATTGTAGATGAACAATTGTGTTTCTTGGGTCAAATGTTTCCTTTTTTTACCAGCATTGATGGGTTTCATTCTGTTTGCATACAAAGAGTTGCACTCTAAATATGTCAGAATATTTTACTGCTTTAGTAGGAGTTTTTGTTTTTTTCTTTTCTTTCTTTTCTCTTTTTTTAAGCCTACGTGCTGGCAATAGCTGTGTCTGCAGGCATTATGTTTTCAGGTGACCTTGGGAATTTCTTTAATTTTGGCACAAACATCCACTTGGTCTAAAGGATTAACTGATTAGAGTTCAAACAGATGTTTGAAAGGAAAGTGGTGACAAAGGTGAACTTTACTATGACATTATAATGTCCTGGAAAACTCATCATTGGCCCTTATTTAACACCATAACTCAGGAGCAGAACGGGAGGTTCGGTTTTGTGTACCTGTTTAGCCAATACAGCTATAATAATCCTTCATTAATCTGTTCAACAATGTATATTCACTGGAATCAAGTTACATTTAGCCAAACAAAATGCGCTCTATACCTTTTTATTTAATTCCTTCAAAGTATTCCCCACATATATTATGTGAGTCTGGGCAGACATGGATGTAAACTGCAACTTGACTGGTTCGTGGAGGTGTACAACCACAGGCCGGTCATTCTAGTTTCAGTATAGTTAATAGTTCAACCGATATCACATTTTTTAAATCATGTTTTTCTTCCCCATGGAACATCAATCAAGCTTTGTTGAGTTGTTTTGATAAAATATTGCAAATACTATTAATTTTCATAAACCCTGTTTTTTTTGTTTTTTTTTATAGTGCACCCAAGGGGATATCGATCAAGATGATGTTGCTTTATTTATTTTAAGGATGGCATTTATCTGTTTTTGCAAATTAACTCTTCAAATTCTCTGTCAAAGAAGCTGCAAAAAAAGGTGATTGATCTAAAATGTGTATTAAAATTGTGCTGCTGTGGCGATAATGGAATTTAATTTATTTCCTTTTTAAGATCAGAACATGAAGGAGGTATAGCTGTCTCACTGGAAAGATTGTATCTAGGGAGATTTTTCATCATCTGCACTAAAAACATCTTTATGGCATACAGAGACACAAACTCACGCAAATAAGGAATAATCTAGGAATATTCTGGATGTTTTGGATATTTTGGATACTGCATAAGAAACATAGAAAAGTCCATTAATAAAAATCCAGTTGTGAATCAGTACGAAGGATAAATATATGAGAATGCGTTTTCTAACTTTTTTGACACTTTCAAAAATAACATGAAAATGTTAAGAGGTATGTTAAACACCTCTGCAGGGTAAATGATGTATAAACGAGAGTGTGTGTGTGTGTGTGTGTGTGTGTGTGAGTGAGGTAGCACATGCCTCAAAGCTTCCACATACTCTTGGCTGGAAACAACTACAGCTCATAAATTACCAGAAGTCTCCCCCCTCCCCCCCGGGTTACAGCCGTGTGTGTATGTGTGCGCGACAGATTGTGTGCAGGCATGCCAACTTTTCTAACAAACATACACTGACACACACACTCCTCTGCAGGGTATCCGGTGGCGAGCTGTTCGACCGAATTGTGGAAAAAGGTTTCTACACGGAGAAGGATGCGAGCACGTTGATCCGACAAGTCTTGGACGCTGTGAACTACCTGCACAAGATGGGCATTGTACACAGAGACCTGAAGGTACTATAACACACACTCCCACATTTTAAATCCACACGAGTGGTTTGTTCTCACTTGACGGCCAATGATTTACTGCAGCAACAAGGGCAGTGGCTCCACACATGCAGTGCATTGTGGGTCAGCGTGGCGTGTGCCGGCTGTTTGAAGAGAGGGGATTGGTCAGAGCCTCCATAAACCAGCACAGTGTAGAATGGGGAAAGAAAGAGGGTTGTATATGTTATTTTCTTTATTAGCTGTTTGGATTTTTCTCTGACGTTAACAAATAATAACAAAATAATAATGAAAACCACAAAATAGAATTAAAAGACTTCATTCTTTCTTTTCTCTCTGTATCCTCCCTCCAGCCAGAGAATTTGCTGTATTTTAATCCCCAAGACGAGTCAAAGATCATGATCAGCGACTTTGGTCTTTCCAAGATGGAGGGCAGCGGTGATGTCATGTCCACTGCCTGCGGCACCCCGGGATATGTTGGTAAGTTGGTCAGTCGCCCCTGGCCTCCATCATTTCATTCTCCTTCATCATCCTCCTGTCAAGCTTTCCATTCTTGCACGGCACATAAAGTATGTTGTATATGATGATAATGGTGCCAAATGTGCCACTTGAAACTCTTTTGAAACAACTGAGTCTATATTTCAGACAGACGTAGTACCCTAGGTCACTGCTATAAGCTGTAAGGTACCGTTCCTATGTTCCCCAGATTCATTTGGCACATAATGGGAACACAACAGGTCCTCTGTTCAGAGGGTCGTATCTTCTCCAGTTCCAGGGGAGGGGTTTAGAGAATAGGCACTTGATTTTGTGTTTACATAAACAGCATGGTTTGGTGATGGATGTCATAGCTCACACACAAGTTTTTATTTCTCATGAACCTATTTACACTCACGTGTCCCGAGGTATGAGTGTAAATATGAACCGAGCTGTCTTTACTTTATTTTCTTCAGGTGTCAGTTCAACAAAACACATGAAAAATTCAAAGAGCGCATGTTTCCATCTGACAACAATTATATTTCCTGCATCATCTTTGTTCATTCACTGTGATCTGGAGGGCTGTGTGTGCGCATGTGTTTGTAATAATATATTTGTGTGTGTGGGGGCTCAAATAGTCAAGTCTATGTGCACCTCACATGCTCACCAATTGTACTTATCACTCCCTGACAGACCACCCTACTCTGAAGAGTCAACATGGAACAGAGCAGAACTGTGTGTGTGTGTGTGTGTGTGTGTGTTGTTAGGAGAGACAGATGTTCAGTGTTGACTGCACACACACTTCCATGTTGGAACACAAATAGACTGGTTGTTCTGACAAACATCACATGAACTCTCACATAAACAAATCTGTTAGAGAAATACAGACGGACAGATACATAAATAACAGTTTCAAATTTTATGGTGGACTGTTGAAATTGATTTTGTAGCACCCCCAACAGACCAACCAAATTAAACCCCACTGGAGTTCATGTTGTGTAACAGTTCAGTATTTTTAAAAGTTTTAGAAGTTATATGACTCAGATATACACATGCGGAGGCACACACTCACTCAAAATAATAAGAGATTTGACTTTAAATGGTCAAATCCTCAAGTATCTTTTCCCTCGCTCTTGTCATCACATGTCATCCAACTATCCCATCCAGCTCATTTTGGGCTTCACCCCCGACCCCCAGCCTCTTCGCCCTCCTACAGAGGTTTGCTTGGCCACAAGGCATTTCCACTCCAGACAATGTGTGTCTAAATATAACTCAGAACGCACCAAATGAAAACCAGACCTGAGCGATGTGCATGTGCACACATGTTTTGTTTTACTATACTTCCCCTTCCCCTGACAAAGTCACCTCCCTGGGCCCATAGAGTTCTCCAACAGAAATCAAATTTGGCATGTTCACAAAGGCTGTGGAACTATTGTTGAATGTGTCACTGTAAGAAAATGACATTATATTTACTGCAGCTTGGGGTCTGTTCATTAACTGATGGCAGTAGTAAAACTAAGTTTTAAAATGGTAGGAAGTTGAAATTCCTAAAGAACTATAAATTCCTGGAAAACACATTTTTGAACAGTCCTGCATGTTTTATCATCCTGTCGAATTGCAATGACCTTCTCTCCATTACACATTAATCTATTGGTTTACAGTTAGATCCATCACTGTCTGCAACTTTTATTTAACAAAATTACAATATTATTCTTAATTATAAATGAAGAATGTCATGAAACCATTTAATGGTACATGCCCGACCAAAATATCTGCTGTATCAGTGCTGGTAATATTTATGAAACTAGAATCAACTGTTAGATGTATTACACCTGCAAGCAGCTCCACTTTAATAGTCTTCCAGTGACATCTCCATTTTTACAGAACAGAAAAAATAATACTAAATGAACCAGAGGTAGCCAAGAAGGCTAATTTCATATCCATTGTCACTGGCCAGATGTTAAAAAAATAAAATAAAATTATGTATGTAAACATGTTGATATAGATATTTTAATTCAAGGAATAAGTCAATGCAAAACCTCAGTTTTCTGTATTTGTCTTCATCTCAGCATCATTCCAAAAAGTAACCTTACAGTTTAAAATGCAAAAGATAGACACACACAGTACCTTTGGCCTGATTTTGTTGTTTTCTTCCACAACAAATTGAGACAAACTCTCTTAAAGCTCATGTTAATGAGACACAAATTGCAGCACAACACTTGTTTGAAAACAGCTAAAAAGAACCAAAAAAGAGACTCAAACCTCATCAGCAAAAAGTCCAAAGATGGAGAGGTCCTACACAGTGTTTGATAGGTGATTTGTAGAAATTCCAAAGCAATGACAGCACAGCAACAGAAAATTTGTAAAAAATCAGATTACTACCATATTTTATACATTTACTCTCTTTCAGTATAATTGACCCTAAACTCACTTTTTCAAGTAGTGAGCACCATGTACAATGACCTCAGTGTGTAAAAATGTCCTAATTCTGAATCCAGAAAAGCAAGAACACACACACACACCTTCACAGTGAGTCAGGATAGACCTATAAACAAAGCTAAGCACTCATTCAGCACATGCGTGCAAAGTTTATATTTTGACCCAGATATGAGTGGTATTTTTTCATATCTTGCTATGTGTGTACGTACGCGTGCCAAGTCTATTTTGATCCAGCCTTGAGTGTGTGCGTGTATGTGTGAGGTGATGTTATGGTGAGCTCAATGTAGTCAGTAATTTGCTCTGTCCGAGGCTCGGTAATGAGCTGCACAGGAAGGTCAGGCTGGGCCGGTCTGGCTTAAACACCAGTATTATATGATAACTGCAGAGCAGGGAAACATTTAGAAGCAAGGCTGATTTTACAAAATAGCAGTTAGCTTTATGTTGAACTATAGGAAAACTAAAAGTCTTTCAAGAAAAAGATTTAACCGCTACATCATAACATCATTGCTTTGTTTGGATTTTTGTTCTGGGTCCATCCTGGCTTTAGGTTAGATAGTTATGGGTCTTTGTCGTGCCAGGTACAACTATTTGCAGCCGTGAGAGCCTGTACCTCCTGCAGAAAATTTCCCACCGTTAACCCAAGTGACATGTGATTTTAATTTGGACAGACATATTTTCTCAGCCTCATAAAACAGCTACATTTTCGTTTAAAAGCCGGACAGCAGTTTTAACTGCACCTCAAGCAGACAAGAAAGTAAAAACGCTGCTATAAACACAATGCAGATTTAAGCTTAGTTAAACAAACTCCCAGCTACTGCAAAATGGAGTTCCACATAGCAAAAACAAGTAAGCAAGGCTAACCAGGTTTGTATTTCACTTTCAGCCCCAGAGGTTCTTGCCCAGAAGCCATACAGTAAGGCAGTGGACTGCTGGTCCATTGGAGTGATCGCCTACATCCTGTAAGTACCAACTCTTCTTCTCTGTCAGTTTCTTAATACATTAATACCCCATTAATACAGCATGTCATAAAATGCAAATTGCATTTGATGTCATTTATTATCACAAAAGTTGTGTTACAATAATGAAAAAGTGGAAAAACCTGTGTGGTTGTTCCTTATAAATACTACTTTGTGACAGTGAGTCAGCATGAACAACTGAAGCAGCTATAAGTCTACAATTACAACAATCATTGATTTTATTATCTGCACATATATGATTTCCTACTGTGTGTCCTACATGTCAGAATGCTATGTATGACATCACTCCGTACTTTTTCACTACTTGTTATGTAATAGACAAGCACTGATTTAATCAATAGTGAGCAAAAAAATTTAATTGTGGACACTTGTAGTGTGGCATGACTGTAATTCTCACTAACTACAGTCTGTAATGTAATGTTCTGCATTGTGGGATTGTTATCAGGAAGTCGTGTACATGCCATGGATACTTTTTTCATACCATCATGGGATTTAGTTTGCGCGCTATGTAAAGCATAAATTTCACTACAGATTTCAGACTCGCAAATAAAATGGCAGACAGTAAATATGGCGCACTGCATAGTAAATGGGGAGTGATTTTGGACACAGCGCTATTGCTCTGAAGATGTGTAGTGTAGTAACGTGTCTACTCACCACATTGCTCGCTTGCTTCCGTTAAAAACATGTCAGCTCTTGACATACGTGCAAGAGCAATATTCTGATGAAAGCTTATGGAGTGAAAATAAAGAAAATATTATTTACCTGTGTTTTACAAGATTTAAAAATGTAATTAAGGTTTTGTGAAGTGAAAAAATATATACTTATATATAAAATACAGATGTCAGGGCGACAGGCCTGTAGTCATTTAATCTCTGGATTAAATGACTACAGGCCTGTCGCCCTGACATCTATAGTCATGAAGTCCTTTGAAAGACTGGAGAACATTACAGGCCCCTTGCTGGACCCCCTGCAGTTTGCATACAGGGATAACAGGTGATGATGCAGTCAACTTGAGACTGCATTACATCCTGCAACACCTCGACTGTCCAGGGACATATGCAAGGATCCTATTTGTGGACTTCAGCTCAATGTTCGACACCATCCCGGACATCCTCAGCACCAAACTCACCCAGCTCACTGTGCCAGCCTCCACCTGTCAGTGAATCACAGACTTCCTGAGTGACAGGAGTCAGCAGGTGAGGCTGGGAAACATCACATCCAGCACCCGGACTATTAGCACTGGCGCCCCCCAGGGGTGTGTGCTCTCCCCACTGCTCGTCTCCCTCTACACCAACAACTGCACCTCAGGAAACCCATCTGTCAAACTCCTGAAGTTCGCTGACGACACAACGGTCGTCGGCCTACAGACGGGAGGTTGATCAGCTGGCTCTCTGGTGCGGTTAGAACAACCTGGAGCTTAACACGCTTAAAACTGTGGAGATGACTGTGGACTTCAGGAGGAGCCCCCCTAATCACCATACTCAACAGCCCTGTGTCTGCTGTGGAAACCCTCAGGTTTCTGGGTTCCACCATATCCCAACACTGACACCATCATCAAGAAGGCCCAGCAGAGGATGTACTGCCTACGCCAGCTCAAGAAGCTCAACCTGCCCAAGGAGCTGCTGATCCACTTTTACACAGCCATCATCCAGTCTATTCCGTCGAACATCTGCCACCAAAAAGGACAGGGACAGACTACAACGGACAGTCAGGACTGCAGAAAAGATCATCGTTGCCAACCTGCCCTCCATTCAGGACTTATACATTTTCAGAGTCAGGAAACGGGCAGGAAACATCACTGCAGATTCATCTCACCCCGGACACAACCTATTCCAGCTTCTCCCCTCTGGTAGGCGCTATAGAGCACTGTACGCCAAAACCAACAGACTCAGGAACAGTTTCTTCCCACTATCCATCACTCACGGTGTCAGACCAATTGCAGGCACCTACCTCAAGTTCATAACACTTGCACAAAATACTTACTTATTTATTCCAGCATCCTTTGCACTATGCTCCATCACACTGTGTACATTTGTACATGTATGCATGTATATATGCATGTGTACCTGCATATCACATCTACCTCCGACATGGACATAATTAATGATAATTATTTTACTCACTTTATCTGACTGAGGTTTGTTGGCCCTGACCATGGCTCTGAAACATCAGTAGCCAAACTGTGCTGTGTATTAATAAATCCATGGCACTGTCCGTGGTGCTGAAGTAGTAGACGGATTTTTATTGCACCTTTTTTTTTTTTTTTTTTTTCTCAATCCCGCCCTTGTATCAGTTTCATCTTGCATCTATAATATTCTCTAAACGATATACTATAAATGCTCAATTCTATTATGTATTGTAGCCGATATTTTGAAGAAATATTGTGAGCCAGGTTTCTAAGACTGATGAAGATTAAACATAGCATGGTTTATTGCGCCCGGCTGAGGAGATAGTGCCAGCATACAAGATTTGAACACGTCAAATGCCAACACCAAATCTTAAGGATTACATCTTTTGGTCCCTTTTATGTTTCTGTCTTCCCCCTAGTGCCTGTAGGTTTCCCTCTTAGGTCATCTTTAGCTGGCCTTAACCTAGAAAAACTAATCTATCTGATGTTTAGACTCCAATGCTTTGTCATATTGGAATCTATTCTATCCATGAGTTGTTCTCTAATCTGTGGGGCCAGTGAGTTCTTGTAAACATTATTGTAAGACTCAACCTTGTAAGATTCCCAGATAACACTGATATCTGCTAGCCTGACACCTGAGCTAATGTCTCTACCTTATCAGGCTAACTGTCGCCTCCCTAAAAAGGACAGTTACATGAGAGAAAAAATAGAGCCAGTGTCAGTGAAGTGTGGGGTCAGCTAATGTCCCTAAGTTAGACCTGTCTTACCTTTCCCTGTTACATCATAAGACACCTGAGAATATTCTTTAACACTATATACTCTTTAGAGTAGTCACCTTCATGATCAAAGTGATAAGTAGCAACATGGAGTCGCCGAAAAGTGAGAGGATTATAGAGACACACTTCTGCCTGTAGTATTCCTATAATATTTATATAGGGGCTCCGGTGTTGAGCACTAGAGTAAAGGAGGTTTGACTGCCAATCCAAATAGGAAAATTCTAAAAAAATCCACATGCTTAAAAGTATATTCTCAAATACACACTGCTTTGTTTCACAAACACAAGACTTGTGCTGTGTCGTTTGGATCTACAATGTCTCACCTGATTGAGCATGTGTACCATACAATGGCTGAAGTCCTTACCGCAGCAGTAATAAAGGTGAAAAAACTGTCAGAAAATAAAAGGCTTTTTAATTAGTCCTCGCTAGCATCTCTTACTTGCTGACTGGCTATAGGAAAAGTGATTTCCTATGTGTTTGGTCAATATACATGGATTTTTCGCCCCCCTACCCACGGGAAAACTCTGCAACAAAGAGCAGTGTGTGAGAGGGTTTGTATCCACAGAAGGAAACTGACAAATGCAGGAACTCAGAGTGGAAGGTGTGTGAATTTGTGTGCAGAAATTGTAGATATGTAACTACAAGTGTACATTTTTACCTCACAAAACATTTTAAAATCTTATAAAAAGAGGGTAAATAATATTTTCACTCCATAGACTTAAGACTTACAGTACTTATCTCCATCCAATCAATTTGGAAACGCTTCTGCTTAGACTGTCTTATTCTTCACGTAGGAATCTGTAACAGTGCAACATCAATGGAAAATAAGAGTCAGACACACATATGACACAGAATGACTCACCACTAGCTAAGCTTGTACACACACACACACAAAACCACTGGCTGAGTTGTGATGTATTACAAACTCATAAATTACATTTAAACCACCTTACATTCTTTCCATTATGCTAGTCAGCACTGGGTTGCCATGCACTAGCAAATGCAATGAAGGTTAGCTAATGCTAATGTGTGCATGGAGCTTAATGCCCTCAAAGGTTATATAGCACAGCTCTGCACTGGGGCGAAACTTGTGTGTGTGTTTATGTCTCTTGTGTGCCATCATTTGAGCCAGATGGAGCTTTGCTGAATGGCCTTGTATAGACATGGAGCTGCAGGCTACACTTCTTTTTCTCTGCTTTTTTTTTGTCCTCCCCCACCTATCACCACCACAAAGTGTGTGTCTGTGTGTGTGTGTGTGTGTGTGTGTGTGTACATGTTTGCGTGTATGAGAACAGTAAAAACTACAGTATCTTTTGTGCTTATTCTAATGATTTGTTTCAGAGTGTGTCACATCTTTTTGTTTCCCCGTGTGCGTGTGAGCATGACCATGACCACTGTGTGTACTGTACTGTTGATGCCCGAAGCCACCACTTTAGTTGTTTTAAGGTGTGTAAATGCTCCGTACTTGTAAATGCTCCGTACTTGTATAGCGCCTTTCTAGTCTTTTCGACCACTCAAAGCGCTTTTACACTACATCTGCATTCACCATTCACACACATTCATACACTGAGCCTAAGTGCTCAAACGGAAACTAACATTCACACTCATTCGTACACTGGCGGAATAGCCGCCAGGGGCAATTCGGGGTTCAGTATCTTGCCCAAGGACACTTCGACACGCAACCAGGGGGAGCCAGGCATTGAACCGCCGACCTTCCGATTAACGGCCAACCCGCTCTACCTCCTGAGCCACAGCCGTGTGTGTGTTTCTTCATCTACACCTCCATTTTATGTGTGCGCACGTGTGTGTGTGTGTGTGTGTGTGTGTGTGTGTGTGCCCCGCCTGATGGAGACATTTATTATCTTGAGCGTGAGGTCAGGTCAGAGGTCAGCAGCAGGTTAATGGGATACAGTGGGAGTGTGCAAGGTGACAGAGAGGAAAGCACAAACATTTGTGTGCCTAACGGATCTGTGATGTGACTGTGAGGTCAAGGTCTCCCCCCAAACCACCCCCCCACCCCACACACTGTGTGTGTGTGTGTGTGTGTGTGTGTGTGTGTTTGTATGTGTCACAGTGTGTGCATTTCTTTATGTCTGTAAACCACATGTCAAATTAAGCTTTTTCTATAAAAGTTTTTGGTACAGCTTCTATCTCAGTGGAGAAAGGGTAAGGGGAGAGCGAGAGAGAGAGACTCCCTGCTGGCAATTAGCACAATTAGCGTTGGGATTCAGACCTTGTTAGCTTTTAGCTGCTGCTCAGGTGGAAAGATCACATCAGGTAATCAGCCATGATAATCACCTGGGATTTTGTGTTTGTGGTGTGTGTGTGTGTGTGTGTGTGTGTGTGTGTGTTTGATGGAGTGGATGGTTAGCTGAGTAACGGGCGTGTCTTTAACCAAATGAACAACCAGAAAAACAAATGAAAAGCCTTTCTCATGGCAGGCAGAATCTTTCTTTCCGTTGTTTTTCTTTTACTCCTTTTTGTGTGTGTGTGTGTGTGTGTGTGTGTGTGTGTGTGTGTGTGTGTGTATCGATGGGGAACGGCATTTTAATGAGTTTTTATGAAAAGCTCTTGGTGCATCCAGAACCTCAGTAATGAGGTGAAGACGGGTTTTGGTTGAGTAGTAACTCTGCAGTTGGTTCACTTGGCTTATTGTGGCGAATCAGACCAGAGTTTCAGTTAATTTGTGTTCACAAACACTGAACCAGTAATCTCACGTTAACCTTATTTAACAGCCAACTCCTGCCAAGACTAGGAGTAAAGGGACTGTTACAGTGGATAGAAAGTCTACACACAAAATCCCAGGTTCTTATGATTTTTTAATTTAACCTTTATTTTACCAGGAAAGAAATCCATTGAGATTTTTAATCTCTTTTACAAGGATGTCCTGGCCAAGATGTGAAACAGCACACAGTGCAAGGTGCAAACAAGGCATTACATGTACAGCACAGCAGCATTATTCATAAAAGTAACAGTATTATTAAATTATTTACAACAAAGTATCAGATAAAAAGACATAAAAGCACAATGAAATTTAAACATATCATAATTTGACTAAATGTCACAGGTGCAAGATGTGTTTAAAACCTCTGACAGTTTTTGTTTAAAACTGGATGATGTAAAATAATGAGACAAAGATAAATCATGTCAGAACTTTTTCCACCTTAAATGTGACCTATAATGTGAACAATTCAATTGAAAAACAAATTGAAATCTTTGAGGGGGAAAAATGAAAAATAAAACCCCTCAAATAACCTGGTTGCATAAGTGTGCACACCCTTAGACTAATACTTTGTTGAAGCACCTTTTGATTTTATTACAGCAGTTAGTTTTTTTGGGTAGGAGTCTATTAGCATGGCACATCTTGCATCTTTGCAAAAGCGCTCCAAATCTGTCAGATTGCGAGGACATCGCCTGTGCACAGCCCTCTTCAGATCACCCCACAGATGTTCAATTGGATTCAGATCTGGGCTCTGGCTGGGCCATTCCAAAGCATTAATCTTCTCCTGGTGAAGCCATGCTTTTGTGGATTTGGATGTGTGCTTTGGGTCGTTGTTGTGCTGAAAGGTGAACTTCCTCTTCATCTTCATCTTTCTAACGGACGCCTGAAGGTTTTGTGCCAAAACTGCCTGGTATTTGAAATTGTTCATAATTCCCTCCACCCTGACTAAGGCCCCGGTTCCAGCTGAAGAAAAACAGCCCCAAAGCATGATGCTGCCACCACCATGCTTCACTGTGGGTATGCTGTTCCTTGGTTGATGTGTAAAGTTGTTTTTGCGTCAAACATACCTTTTGGAATTATGGCCAAACAGTTCTACCTTGGTTTCATCAGACCATAACACATTTTCCCACATGCTTTTGGGGGACTTGATGTTTGTTTTTGCAAACTTCAGCTGTGCTTGGATGTTTTTCTTTGTAAGAAAAGGCTTCCGTCTTGCCACCCTACCCCATAGCCCATTCATATGAAGAATACAGGAGAAAGTTGTCACATGTACCGCACAGCCAGTACTTGCCAGAAATTCCTGCAGTTCCTTTAATGTTGCTGTAGGCCTCTTGGAAGCCTCCCTGACCAGTTTTTCATCAATTTTGGAGGGACGTCCAGTTCTTGGTCACAGTTGTGCCATATTTTCTCCACTTGATGATGACTCTGCTTTGGAAATTCTTTTGTACCCGTCTCCTGACTTATGTCTTTCAACAATGAGATCTTTCTGATGCTTTGAAAGCTCTCTGCGGACCATGGCTTTTGCTCGGAGATGGAACTAAGAAAATATCAGGAAAATCCTACTAGTACAGCTGAACTTCATTTGTGATTAATCAGAGTCACTTTAAATGATGGCAGGCGTGTAATGACTTCTAGTTAACCAGAGTTTGAATGTGATTGGTTAATTCTGAACACAGCCACATCCCCAGTTATAAGAGGGTGTGCACGCTTATGCAACCAGGTTATTGTTTTTATTTTTAATTAAGTTTGTTTTTTATTGAATTTTTATTGTTCACATTATAGGTCACATTAAAGGTGGAAAAAGTTCTGACATGATTTATCTTTGTCTCATTATTTTACATCATAAGAACCTGGCATTTTAACAGGTGTGTAGACTTTTTCTATCCACTGTACATTAGCCACCTCTGTGACCAACATCACTTTGTCCCCTGGCACAAATACAGGCAAGACACCATTTCCACACTTACACTTACATCCCAATCAGGCCTAGGCTTTATGCTTGAAATTAACGGAAGAATATCTGCCTGATATTGATGTAAATCAGTAAGAGAATATGCATAATTGAAGAAATCTAATTGTTTAGTGCAACAGAGTTTATAGTTTATAGTAACAGTTTGTTTGGAATCATCAGTTCAGACAAATTTTTGAGAAATGATATCACAGGATGATCATATTGTCACGTTAAGATTATACCGAAAGTCAATCTAAAATAATATTGGGAAGTATTGCCCAGACCTTATCCGCAGCTGTTGGTGTTCATAAAACTTTGGAGCCACCTGTATCAACGAGCTGGTCAGTCATCAGAATGAATAAATCAATGTAGGGCTGCAGCTATCGTTTTCATTTTGAATTATTAATGAATCTGTCAATTTCTTCTAATTGTTGGAATTAGAAAATGGCAAAAAAATGCCCATCACAACTTCCCAGAGTCAGAGTTAACAACTTAAAATAACTTGTTTTGTCCAGCCAAAAGTTCAAAAGCCAAAGAAATTCAATCTACAGTGATATAAAACTGTGAAAAGTGACAAACCCACACCTTTTGAGAACAGTGAGTGTTAGAATTTTACTTAATCGTCAACATCAATTAACTGTTTATTTTTCTGTGGATGGACAAATCCGTTTACCAACTAAAAGTTTCATCCAGAATTTAATAAATAAGTGAATGAATTAATAATTGACTGCCCAAGTTCAAATGAACAAATGACTAACTTGAATGATGTATGAAATGAATGAATGAGGAATAGACTAAATGATTGAAAAAATTAGCAATAAATGCATGACATGCATTAGTAAGTGAATCACAGAGCGAATGGTTGACTGAGTACACCTCTTATCCACAGGCTGTGTGGTTACCCTCCGTTCTACGATGAAAACGACTCCAAGCTGTTTGAACAGATCCTGAAAGCCGACTACGAGTTTGACGCGCCGTACTGGGACGACATATCGGACTCAGGTGAGCCTATGCCTTCCTCCTCCCCCTCTGTCCACCATGTGGCACATATGGACCACACACCACCTCTCCATCACAGCTTCTGACATCATCTGCCTGGAATGAATGTATTTGGGAGTGTGTGGCAGTAAAACAAACTTAGTGGACGCCAGTCGTGTGTGTGTGTGTGTGTGTGTGTGTGTGCCATGCTAGGGGCTTGAATGTGTGACCCACACCTTTGGTCCAAACTTAAATATCTCAACAAGAATCGGATGGATTGGCATGACATTTTATACAGACTTTCATGATTCCCAAAGGATGAATCTTAATGACTTGACTGAAGACTCTTAGTGATGTTTTTTTGGAGTGATTATGTTTTACAGATACCAGATTATGTTTTTTAGACGGCACCAAAAAGCAATTCAAACTGACTGAAATGTCAAAGATTAGTGTTATTTGTGTCACAAATTTCTGTTTTTAGGAAGATTGACCCACTAATTGTTTCAAAATGCTGTTTATAGTTGGTATGGTCTTTGTGTGTCTACGGTCATTGACATTTTTTGGCCTTTTTATTGTTGTTTTTTTTTCTCCCAGCCAAAGATTTCATCAGCAGTCTGATGGAAAAAGATCCAGCCAAACGTTTCACCTGCGACCAGGCACTCAGACACCCCTGGTGAGAAACACAGAATGTCATACACAGGCAAAAAAGGGCATTAAATAAATAATCAATAGATATCGATGTACAGTCAGATAATTTGTGTGTGTGTGTGTGTGTGTGTGTGTGTGTGTGTGTGTGTGTCAGGATCGCTGGGGATACGGCACTCTGCAAGAACATCCATGAGTCAGTCAGCCGGCAGATCAGAAAGAACTTCGCCAAGAGCAAATGGAGGGTAAATGTTGTTTGCCGCAGTTTATTCTTTGTGGTTTTGCCTCTATTGCAGGAACTTTTGTATTACTCCAGTGTTTAGAAGATGAATCACTCTCTTGTAAAAACCTGGCTCACCATATGGTCAGGAGTTAACATTCATGTTATGTTAAGCCAAAGCGTGAACACACAGAACAGAAATTGGGCCCAATTACACACTAAGACAGAGCAGATGCAGCAAATAGTGTTTTATTGAAAATAAAATGGGCACAAAAGAATCCACAGAAATCAAATGATTGTAAATCCACAACAATATCCAATCCACAGTCCAAATGAAACTGAAACGGATGCAAACATATCCGAATATCCGAAAAGAAGTGGAAGACAGAAGAAAACAGGAAACGGGCTCGGACGCAATCCGAAAAAGACCAGGGTGATTCACAAACTATAAATACACAAGGTAGGGCCAGGTAATAACACACAGGTGACACGAATAAGGAAATCTACAGGGAGGACACAGACAGGACATACAGTACAACAAGACACGAGAGGTGGACACTTACAAAATAAAACAGGACATAAACCAACAAAACCCATAACCACAACACTTCATCATTCACTTTTCTCCTGAAGCTCTCAGAAGAAGAAGAGAGTAATCTCCAGACTTGAAATAAATTCCACTTTGTTGAAGACGCTCCTCAAACTGTCATTTTCAGCCCTGGGTGGGAATAGTACATACAGCTCATGTCATATTTGAACCTCAGATGTTTTTAATGGAAGATAAACTGCAACAGCAGACCAAATCGTGGCATTTTTTTTTGGCAATAGTGCCAGTTCATTGAAAGCAGATTCTGGTCTGCATCTTCAAAGCTACTATGAAATGAAAAAACACTTTTTTGATATTTTCAATGGATTGAAAATCCCGAATATAATCCAACTTGTACTTGTTAAACAGTACGCTGATAGTGCAGCGACCTCATTCCAAGCCAATAGATAGAAATAAAAACTTCACTGAATAAAACCATCACAGATATTTGAACAGTTTTGCTCCTTATAAAATAAATAAGATGCTACTTAATTGCTGTTTCACTGGCATTTTAATCCCAACAGCTTTTATGATATGCAGAAACTGAGGCAAAGTGAGAGCTCTCTGTTTCTGTTTATTTCCTATTTCCTTTCTCACTCCAGCAAGCATTCAATGCCACCGCCGTGGTTCGACACATGAGGCGGCTTCAGCTTGGCAGCAGCATGGGGAGCAGCATAGACGCTTCCAACCCACTGACCAGGCCGAGCCAGATGCAGAAGCCTGCCCAGAGCCAGGCTGGCCAGAACCAGCCAGCTCAGAGCCAAAACGCTGGCCAGGCGGCACAGAGCCAGAGCACCAACACGGCTGCCAGCAAAAGCTCTTCCATAGACAACAACATAGCAGCTCCTCGCAAGGAATGTGAGTATGAGTCATTTGTATCAGTAGCACCAGGAAGCAAAGAGAACATATGTATATTAAAAAAATTCAAGCACTGATCATTCGCTAAACTTCTCTCTCAAACAATGATTATCCAAACCTTGATGAGAAACTGCAACTAAGCACAGCAGTCCTGACACCTGGATTTTCCCACAAGCCCAAATGGTGTGCATGGCACAGACTGATACTCTATATGCACATAAAGACTTCGGAGGGTGGTGTCTTTTTAGGGGTAACTAGCTTACTACTTACTAAATCTACGTTATTGAGTGGGAGTCGATCCTGATTGCGTGTAGGTTAACATTAGCAGCTCTGTCGTGCTTTGTGGGATTTAGGGGAGTTTACAAACTCATTATGCGAAATAGCATTGCATTCACATTGGTTAGCCCTCAGCCTAAAGGCCTTTTCTCTTGTAACATTAAACGTAAATCTAAATCGAACCTCTTGCTTGTCCAAGTATGTAAGATAAGCAGCAAATCTGGGTAAGGTTAGAAGGAAATAACAGTCTAATTGTACGTTTTGTCTTCTCATACTTGCAACACTAGGACCATGGAATAGATACAGCTTCGCCTTGCTTCCAATTTTGCCCAGTGGCCAATCACAGTATCCAGTGAAAAATTCCCCTGCAGCCCAAAAAGCATTGTCTAAATAGACCACCAAAAACTGTAGAACTGCAAACAAGGTCAATTATTATTAATATTTTTGATCACAGGCGATGCCAGTGGGTGAAACACTACTGCTCATATTCAGTGCTGTTTCTATGTCTTCTACACTTTTTCTTAACTTTGTGCCTGGGACCTGTTACCTAAAGTCTTGGTCTTTTAGCATGATGTCATGTATGTAGCCATCAAGGGCGTATTTTAAACTCCTTTCCAAGATTCACGTTTTAAAGTGAGTCAACTTGAAAGTTTATAAAGTCAGTCAAGAGACAGCCTTTTTAACCAACCCATGAAGCCTCCTTAGTAATCTGTTGTTGTTGTTGTTGTTGGGAAAGTTTTTGTTTTAGCTGGCAAAATCAGTGGTCATTGGCCAGAAATGTGAACCCTTGTTTTGTCTGAAATCCAGCACCCATTGTTTCAGAAATTAAGATCTTCCACTGTTGTCATTATAAATTGCACATATGGTGTGCACGAATGTAAGGCACAGCTACAGTAAATATAGAAAAAATATGCTGCTGATCCATCTGCTGACTCTTCCCTCTCAGGTGTAACTGGACCGGTCACACCCTGCAGTCTGGCATCTGCAGCTTCTTCTCCCGGCGCAGGGGCAGAGCTGAACAGGCCACATCCCTCAGCAGTTCCCGCCCCAGTGCTTACAGAGACCAAGTGACGCCAGGTCCCGCGGGGAACCAGCTGGGAGGCCACAGCGCTGTGAGGCAGAGAGACAGAGGACGACAGGCGAGAAAGAGGACCCCCCCCTCTTCTTCTTTCCTCCCTCTCCTCACTGCATTTCCACTTGGATGTTCCCCCCAGCCAGTTCCCCGCCCTGCTCTCGGGAGAGCAGAGGACTTTACCGCCACCCCACCGATTCAAGCCACGCAGCGCCATACTGTACGACCACCACCCACCCACCAGGACGCCGCATAGTATTCCTCCTGCAACAGCAACAGCACGGCCACTGACTCATTGAGGATGTTTGTATGGTCGGCTGTAGTTGGTTGCCATTTAATGATAAAGGAGTGTCAACTGCTGTGAGCTTGATCAGTAATTGGTGGTTCATGGTGGGGCCGATGGTATCGTATTATTCAATGTCAGTCAACATCAACTTCCCTCTTGAATCTGGTCTTTCCTGCGTCACTTTATTTAGCTTTTTCCAAATTAGGTTTGACTGTTGGCAACTGGATTGTTTGATTCTTTTATTATTGCTGTTAATTTTAAAGCTGGTATGTGTAACTTTTAAAAGAAGGCATGTCATTGTCAAATTGATAGTGCTACTTTGGTATAATTACTGTAATAAAATAAGACCATGGTTAAGACAATTGGTCGCCTCTACCTCACGCTAATTTATAGCTATTTATTGTGCATTGTAAAGCATTTCTCTACATTAAGACCCCATTTCCCACAACAGCTTGTTTCTTCTTTTTTCCATCATCACCAAAATCTGATTGGCTTTGACTTGGTTTGCTCTGGAAGAACAGCACTCTCTTCCTGTTACGTGCCATAAAGAAGTCCGACAGATTTACATCCAAATTCAGAGTAGAGGCTGATAGGCCATCTTACTGAGGACCTGATGTGTTTACACTAATTTTACTAATGTAGCAAACTAATGTGACAATGATTTATTCATGTTAAACGCTACATATAGCACCTTTAAGACATTTTATATGTCCATATGGGTTCTTTTGTGTTTGTTTGTGCTTTATGAAGTGCTTTAAAAGTACCACATGACTGTTGAGATGTGGAAACATGAGTAAGCGCTTTATGTATTTTGCACAGAGAGGGTCAGATATGTTCTCAGACACAGATTAGCCACCATCCACTTATGTTTATCAGAGAGTAGAGATTGTAAACCTTTATATAAAAAAAACAAAGAGTGGATGTCAGAGCATTGTACAACTTGGTTATTGCCTGAAAGATTCTGATTTGTTTGTTATTTTCTTACTTTATGAGACTTTTATAACAATCAACCTTTAAGGGACACACCTACAGGTTACTATGAAACATGCAGCAGGTTCAGGATAGCGTAGAGGCATATAGTGGAAAACTGCCTCCAGTTGAGAATAGATGATAGCTTGATATTTGATAGCTTTGATTTCCCAAACTAAGGGGCCGCAAACAGCGCAGTACAGTTTCAAGATTACATAACGTCCCTGAGATATTTAACTGCCCCCCACATGGGTCCTCAGAGTATGTGGCCCGTGTGGAGACAAAATCCAAGATGGAGAAGCTGTCCTGCTGCTGTTCCCTCCCCCTCTAAAGAAGCCATGATCTCACTTTTTTGCATTGTCAAGCTGCACCCAGTTGAGAAGTGCTCAGGGAAAACTGCAGCTCCACTGTGAGCTGGCGAAAACCGATGTCCTGGTTTAGGTTTTTCTGTCAGTGTTTTTGGTCCAGGGGTTGTGGCATTGCAGTAAATGATCCAGGGCTTATGATGTTAGCTGTGTCCTCATTGTAGTGTTGTAGTGACTCGTGACTTGAATATTGGAAGACTCAGACTTGGGCTCCAAGTTGTTTTGGACTTATGCAGCATGCACAACTTGTTCCACTATACTGTTTTATTAACACAATCCCCAACCCCCAAACAGAGTAGCGGAGCTCTTTTCTTGACGGAATTGGATGGGTAATAATGGAGTATAGGTTAGTCCTTGCTGTATCTAGTGATCCCTGCCTTCATGACAGTGGACAGTCATTGTGTCCAACAATTTGAAAGCTTGGTTTGTGTAGTTTCTCGTGATTAGTAGAATGGCTTAACAATGGCTAATGTCAACTATTGATTTGATTACGAGCAGCAAAGCCAAAATATTTTGTTAACAACAAGGCTCTCATTGTCCACTTCGTTCTGAGGGTTTGGTTTTTAACAGCTCAGTTTTGGTCAATTTCAAGTCTTTTAAAAGATTTCATTTCAAAACAGATGGGATGACTGAAGTCCACAGCTTGGAGCTCCTTTTCAACTCATAATTTAACTTTAAAATGACAGACTGACTTTGTTTTGATTTGTGCTTGATGGAACTCAGACTCTGACTTGACTACAGGAGCTTAGATTGTGCCACTGGTTGTAATGGCCTTTTAGACGTAGCTCAGAGAGCAGAACTGTACAACGGCGGGTGCTCACTCACACATATCAGATTGTCATGTCTTTATCAGATGCAATTCTACTCATCCCTTTATTGTGAATTGTAGCCAAAGACTAGTGCTAGCTACAAAGACAATTTGGTTCTTTTTGAATTAGAACTAGTCAGATGTGAAGCAGTTCGAGACACAAGTGGACTAAAACTAAGGGCTGAACTCCAGCTGCAAATTAATCTGGAGAGAAATGTATTGACCTTTGATCCCTTCCTAATCTGTTGGCATTTATCCTGTTTTATTATCTGCACAGAATGTTGCTGAAAAGTATGTGCAAATTATTCATAGTTTGTGTTTTTTTTCTGTATGGCATTTCAGAAGAGTGTGAGACCACAGCTGGATGAAAGTCAACGGTAAAAATGTCAGTAAATCAACACATACCCAAGCTTTCTGGAATTCACTTTTGGCTCTATGTGTCGTTTGTGTTTATTAAGCTCCACCTATTTGGACTGAAGTTGACTAAAACAAACCATGATGAGACATTTGTGAGTGCTATTCAGTCCAAATCAGTCATGTTCTTCGAGAGCTGCATCTCTTGCAAGCTCTGCAAGGACAGTTCCAGTTTGGATTTTCTGCTCTATCCCGCTGTTTCTTAACCAACAATGTTTCAGTCCCCCTCAATACTTTGCGTCCTTCCTAACCTATCTTTAGCGCTTAGCCCCAAGCCCATTTGCTCCTACTGTGGAGACATAAATCTTAAACCATAAGTTTCAAATATATAGTTGGAATTCTTTGAAAGGCTAAAACAGCTGGGCACTGTAGTTCTTAGTAAACGTAAAGTAAAAACTGCACTCGTTGGGGACTATTTTCAGCGATGGATTAATACATTCATCATTGGTTTTGCTTGGGATTTGTTCACAGAATGAAAAAAGTAGAAAGCCTGACTTACCCTTTAAGTAGATTTGTTGCTATTTTTCAGTAAAAAAGTAAATATTTTAAGCAAATTCTGTTACAGCCAGAAAAGAAGATGCTTAAAAGTTACTTTGAATATAGAGTAATTGCTGGAACCATCTTTCCCACAGATTTAAGATTGACCTGCTCAGGGGTTAGGGAGTGAGTGAGCATGAGAAGTTTTGGCAAAACTGATTTGTAATTTCTTTCTGTGTTAAATGAATGTAAAAACAACACTAACACACAGCCACATTAAGGGATAGAACATTCTTTCAAAACCAAATCATTCATATGTATGGTCTCCAAACAGACACACACCGGATCTGCTGCATTGTTGTTCAAGCACTCAAGGCATAGTGTATTGACTGAAAACACTGCAGTTACTTTATGCACATTGACCTTACAACTAATCCAGTCACAATATAGTTTTAGTTTAGTCGTTTTGGTAGTTAGAGGTTTACGAAAAGGCCTGTTAGCCTGAAATATTTTGTTATTTTAAATGTGCAATCATAGGGAAAGCTACACCTATGTGGCTCCTACTGCATGACAGGTCACCTTGCAGAAATCTAAATTAATTCTGACTTTTTACAGCGGGGACTTGTGTTGCATTTTTCTCTACTAACCACACTCTATAGTCATTCCATGTAATTATCCATGTGTTACTGATGGGAAGTTTCAATCATGTAAGGGCTTTATTCCTATGACCACCTTAACCTATTTATTCACTGTAACCATGTATACATACCCATTGATTGCTATGCATTTTTTAAATGTACCGTCAATGCTTTTTTCTTGGAAGAGGGATCAGGACAGAAAGGAAACAACATCAGCACCTATAGTTAGAAAAAAGAAGGTAGATATTTTAGTTTTGGGAATAAATATGTGCAAGGCACTGAATTCTTTGAACCTTAGAAATTTTCAATCACTTAACTGTTGATGATTATTATTGTTGAATGAGCTACATTGTAAAAGTGGTGTACCAGGTTATTCTCTGGCACAAAAGGTGGTGATGAATCGTCAGCCAAGACTGTAAGAATATGTTGAATTAAATGTGAAGTCGTCCACTTAAGTCTGGACGTTTGTGTTTACGAATGCATCATGAGGCAGGCAGAGGGTTCAAGTTAATGCTGCTCAGTAGTTTTATGTCTGCTGTAAAAAAAAAAAAAAAGGTTTGAATTGATCGTTCCATGTTAAAGATGCTACTGTAAATATATTGTGAATATGAATGATCATTTTCAAGATAATATTTACAAATGTTTTGCTGTTCAGGCATGTAAGAGTGAATGAGTGTGTGTCGAGGGAAGTTGATTGTATTCTCTATGGAATGTTTAATGTAAAAAAAAAGAAAAAGAAAAGCTACAATCCCCTTTACTCCCTACTGCAATTTGCTTTTGCATCCTGTCCAGCACTGTGTGACTGCCACTTGCAGAACTACATAGTGCAGTTTAATGCCGTCAGTGTTCCACCTCCACTTCAGTTTAAGTCCAGCTAAAACTGAAAGCATCATTTACTGAACTCAGGCTTACGTTTTTGCCATTACAAAGGAAGAAATCCAAAGCTGTGACCGACTCAGAAACACACTGTTCAGGACTAGGGGCGGCTACGACCCGCTCTCGTCCACTTTTTCCCCTTTGACCTTTTTTTAACAAAGTGCATCATCACAAAAGATGAAAACACAAGCATGTCCAAAAAAGTGCTACAAGAAGTCAACTTCACCATGTTCGCATAATCTTATATGCCCTTGTATGATGTTAGTATCTCTGTATTACTGTATGTAAAGACGTACACAGGTTGAGATGCCTGCGTTCAAAAAAAGACGAGTTTACTCAGCAGATTAGAGTTTCAGTTCTACAAACAGTTTCAAGAGGCAGAAATCATACCTGGTTCCAAGATGGTTCCCCATTCAATCAGTTACTCTAATGCTGTTATTAGTGTGACTTTCCACTGATTCCCTGCCTACAACAATGATATGGCTTGAAAATTATTTACTGGTATGGCTAAAGATTTTCTCATTTTTATGTGGCATAAATTGTGATAATACAAAAAGTATCTTATGGGTGTTTGTGGCACTTGTTTTAAAGGTGTTTTTGCAACAAATTGTCTATGAGTTGGTTGTCTCAAGGCCAGTGTTCAACAAGTTATCTGCAATTCTGAGCCGCTGAGCCAAAAGCCTAAATTGCTTCACAGCTAGCGCTTGTCCGGGGGTAATGGCCAAACATGGCAAAAATGTCGGTAAAAAATAAAATCAGAAATATAAATACCAAGGACCTTTGTTTTTTCATTCACTCATGACATTAGCTTACTTAGTTAGCAAAAGCTCTGTATGGCTAGATGGAAATTCAGGCTAAGTAGCTAGAGACCCTTGTATAGCTAAATTCTAGGGTATTTTGTCTTGACTGTTTTATTTCCATAAAGGTAAAGGCCTACCCTGTTGCTAACGACTTCTAGGGAAGTCAAGTACATGTAGCTAGTGGGTATTTATTTTAGTTAGTTAGTGGTGTATTTCATGCTTCATTTTAAAGAAGAATTTGCTGTGTTGGCTAAGATCTGTATCTGACAGTGTATGCATAAGACTTCTTTTAACTACACAAGGAAGCACGTTCACTTATATGTCAGTGTTTCTGTATGAATTATTGCCAAATGCGTTAGTCACAATATTAGCATTGTCTCTTATGGACTGAAAGAATTGCGGGATTTTAGTTAGCATCAGTAAATCTAATGCAAAACTACTAGGCTAGCAGCTGTGCTGTGCTGTGCTTCCCTCTAGCCAAATGGTAAAAATGGTCCTTTTCCTCTGTCCATAAGATCTAACTCAACTAATGAGAGCCGCTCTGCCTCTAAGAATTGTTTGTAGGGCTTAAACTTTGTACAAGCTGCTCTTTGGGACCTGGTGTCTCCCTGTGGGTGTCCTCGTCCGGAGCCTGCTGTTAGCCGGCTATGTTGTATTTACTCTGCATGTGACCACAGCAAACTCCCATCCTGTGCACCGTTGTCGCGCCGACAACACCCTCATGTCTGAGAGCGGACACTGCCTGCCGCACTTATTGTGCTGTGATGATGATGATGATGATGATGATGACTTTCTGTTAATGGGGCTTGTATATCAGATGCCTTCGACAATCATGTGTACATATCAGAGTTACCATGAAGACACAGGCCAGAGCAACTGATTGTGTTTCGTTTCTCCTGGAATAAATCCTGAATGATCATAATATGACCTTTTTTTACCCATTATTTTTTGGTGTGTGTGGGTGTGTGTGACAAAATAGGATAAGGCTGGCATGTTCTTACTACTCAATCTCAGAATAAGGACTATATTTCCTACTAATGTAAACCCATGTGTGTGTTTGTACTGTATTTCAACACACCCCAGAGTCCATGCATGCGAATATAAAGCAGACACTAGACACTCTTTACTACTTTGCCCAACATTTATATGCTGAACAGCAGATGTTTAGCAGGCAGAAGACAGATGTTGCAAACACAGGAGGTTGGGATACATTATTATAGTTAAAGCTTAAAAAACATATTGTCCACAGATGTTACTTCCTCATATGATGTTATGTTCAGCCTGAAAGGAGTCTCCTTGGGTTTACCCTCTAGTATCCACACTGCCTGATTATGCCGTTGCAACAAAGGGTTCAGTTAGAGTTCAGATAAAACATGTTTACAGTCTTGAAAAAAAAACTAGAGACCCCTCATTTTTGTCTGTGTTTTTCTGTCAAAGCTCTTTACAAACTTATTTGAGTCTTCACAGCTGCCCAACACCAATGTGAATGATTCATTCAAGTATTGATAAGGCTGAGATAAGCTAACCTGTAATAGTGATAGTTACATACATCTAGTGATGCACTTGGACACATCATCAGTGATAGTACCTGGGGTCATCGGGGTGTTTCAAGTCTTTCAGCCTCAGACACCCTCAGTGATTAGTTCCCAGCCTGTGTCCAAGAGACATCAGTCCAGAAACAGCCAGCTTGTGTGTCCCTCAACTGGGGCGACTAGATTTCCCATGTAGTACAGCCTCACAGCACTGCATTGCTGTAGACTCTTTGTCTTGTTCTTTCTGTACATTAACACCATGCTCATTGGCTTTCGCTCAACTTCAGAATTGCTTCTCGTTGAAGTGGAAACAGACTCCAGCCGATAAGGAGTAACTTAATTTTGCACTTTAGTAAATATGCATCTGTTTGTTCCATTGGTGCATTTGTGCCATATTTGATTTTATTTTACTCTGCACTGGCTCTTTACACAACTTAAGATAGAAGATAACAATGAATGAACAGACAACATTAGTCAACATAAGACAGAAAAGCTGCAGGCTACTTCTTGCCCCTGTATGCCCTTTCAACACTATAGTTAATAAGCTTTATACGTTGATTCTGTTTAAAATAAATCATCTTTTGAAGTTAACTTTTAAATGATCGTCACCTCAAGTGACTTACTGTAGCTTGAGATGTTGAGTTTTCCCCTCTGAGCAGCGGTAGCCTGAAGGTTTGTATTTGCTCATCAGTGATAAGTTGTGTTAATATTGGTCCGTTATTAGCAGAGTTTGGCCCAGTGGAGCTTCCTGTGGTTCAAGTCATCACACTTCCTCTGCTTTTCGCTCCGTCTCAGTTGGAGATTTTCCTCCAGACTGACTGTCTACCTCAGTTCAGTACAGGGGAGTGCGCGCACACATTGAGTGTGTCGGCTCATTCAAAGTGATTCATCCCTCTGACGTACACACACACACACCAAAGCACTGAAATGAAAATTGTGAAATCAAAGTATTTTACATCTCTTTGACACTCAATACATTGCATCACGCTGAAACACAGTCATACACACGCGTACACACACACAGATACAAACACTGCTTGTTGACTTTGCATGTCAAGCTGTAAGTGTGTTTGTGCATGGACTCACCGATCCCTCTCCTTCTTAAAATGATTTTGCCTCATCTTTCGTTCAAGCCTCTACCCTCCCCTCCTCTTCCCATCCTCTTCTGCAGCCCTTCTCTGGCCGCAGGGTTTCTTCTCCTCCTCTCCCCCCTCTCCCCTACAGTGACATGTTGTTTTGTTCTTTACTAAGCAGCACATATATATTCAATAAAACTAATTACAGGCAGATCATCTGAAACGGTGCGATAACACACAGTCCCACAGGAAATAGAGGCAGGAACGTGGCATGCTGTGAAATTTAAACAGATAATTTTGAATGCATACAGCGGGTGGTGACTTGATGTTTCCCTCTACTCTGTTTGCTAGCAGTTAGTAAGCTAAAAACTAAACCAAACTATACACCATCTACTTGCAGTAGCACAGTTACACCAGCAGTGACCTTTTACTTTTAAGTAAAAATGCTTTGTACAAGCTTGTCCTGACTCAACCATGCAGAGGAGATCTGCTAGATGTTGAATGATAATGAATTAAAGATGAATTCAAGCTGTCAAAACTGTCATCTGCTCTAAAGTGTCCATGGTGCAGCATTAGCTAGTAGGTTGCATTCAGGTTCTGCTGTCATTTCCTTTAATGGATTAGTTGCAGAAGAGACGATATTTTTATTCTTTCTTTGTTGTCTCTTGGTTTGAAGTTGCTTTTCACACTGTGCAAAACTGTGCATCTTGCCTGCACCATTTTTTTTCACAATCAAAAATTTGGATTTGTTAATCAAGAGACTTTTGTTGGGTTTTGAGGGACCATGGTGCGAGGATGAGTTATTTAGAACAGTTCTAAAACCCCCCTCAAAAGTTAATGGACATTGGTTGCAAATGCTTACAAATGGGACATAGGTATAGTTCAAGCATAGCACTAGCTGATTGGCATCAGTGTTCTCATTCAAGGTTCACCAGCCTATTGTCGACCAGCTGACAAGTAGGCTAACATCTGGTCATATCTATGCAGGTGTAAAACTTCCTACTGTTACTTTGCTGATATGCTCATGCCAGTGCCATTTGGCATCGCAGCTCCCTTCACCACCCTTTTTAAAGCCACTATGGAAAGGATTTTTTTTAAATGTAACTTTGGTGACCCCTAGGGATAGAAAAACGACCCTCAACCACTCCCCCTAACGAAGCCAACCACGTTGATTGCGCTGAAAGCGACAAATAGACTGCACAGATTTTCACCGGGATTATCGGATTCTTTTCCAAATAAAAAACGTACAACAGCAGGATAATTTAAAAGCTCCTGTAACCACATAACAATTCCACACTTTTGGCTTTAATCTTTTAAATTGTTGAGGGGGTTGTCAGTTGCATCTTGTCACAACACTTATTTGAGCAGTAACAGCTGCAGCGCTGCAGCAATTTTTCCTCAGTTGTTCTAAGCATCAGATATGCATGTCTGGCTGCTGCAGGGTTAGCAGTGGTATGAAGCATTTCTGTACCTGTGCTGCTTGCATGCTAACTAAGCATAGACCAAGAAGAGGAAGGTCTGCTTCAGAGAGGAGACTGTGTCCGACACGATGTAAAAACATTGTTATTTCAGCATCTCAGTCACCAACTGCAGGTCAAAATTCATCCACTGCTTTATTGCTCACCTCACCGCCACTGAGCGTTTGATTATGTTTGTGGCACAAGAGAGAAAATACAATTCAGCCTCTGATGAACGCATATGTTTCTCTCTGCATCCAACCTGCCTCTCATTTTGCTGTCTTTTGGTGATCCTTGCATTCACAGTGGTCTCGTGATGTGACGCTGCTCGCCTCCCTCCAGAGCTTTTGGTTTTCCAGACTGAATTAGAGGAATATTTCAGCGACGTCCTGCTGTTCCGAGCATTGCCGCCCACACAAACACATTCCAGCCACTTGATGGACCATACACACACACACATCTCTTTCTCTCCCCAAATACTACAGTGTCTCCTCTGACCTTAACCTCCTTACACTCTGTGTGATACTGTAGGGCTTAACTGGAACGCTGAGTGTGTGTGGCTGTTTGTTTTTTTAAACTCCCGTGACCCAGATGTTAATATCACGTTCACGTTCAGTCTGATGTTCATCCAAATCAAATTTTATAAGCAGAAAAACCATCATACAAAAATATCCACATACAAGCTGATGTTCCAGACTTCAAAAAACTTAAATTAAAAATAAACGAACCTTCTCAAACATCCTAGAATTCTCATTCTACACGACTCTCTGCTCACAATTTCAGTTGAAGAAAAGTCAATACATCACAACATCATTAAAATTAAATGTAATGTCTCTTAGTAGTGCCTCACTAGGCTGTGATTACATAAAAGGCATTTCTCTATGTGTTTTCTTTGGTTGTACTCAATTGTTTAGTTGTTGTCATACGATGTGTTTCCCGAAAAGCTGAGAAAACTAAAATTCCTCCACCAGCCTTTCAATTTCTTAAATCTGCTATAATCAATATTTTTATACTAACAATCGATCAAATTACTATATGTATTGTGTAAAGGGTCACCCACAGAGAATTACCTCTGCAGCCCCCCTCTGCTCTACAGAGTATTTTAGCATCTTTCAGCTCATTGTTTTGTTTTTTCCAGCCCGCAACTTTAATGGTTGATTCAGTCTAATCACTTTGATTCTATTTGTAACAGGCAGCTTTTTTCTGTAAAAAAAGAGAAAAGGCTCTAATAACCCAGCCTCCCAGTAACAAACAGTAGACAGGCAAAGTTAGCAACTAGCCAATGAACATAGTGGAGAATTTAGCAGCTAAAGAGAGAGAAAGTTTTCTCACTAACATTCACCCGTTGCCTGAAACACAAAGTGTTACGTGTGTCTTCTGAATGTGTAAACAAGAAACCTTCGCCAATAAGTTCGCCTTATTGGTTTAAAAGGTGATATGTCAATGTTATGTTTACAGCTTGTTTTTTGCTGCCCCCAAGTGACCAAAAAATCAAAGTCATGCAGTATTACAGAGATTTAATATTCTATGATGTTGGGCCTCCTGCCAGAGCCAGATTTTTTTATTAGAATTGCCAGAATCGATGCAGCAGAGGTCGAGATATCCTGACATTCAAACACTGGATCCCATGCTTCCCATAATGCATCTCAGTTGAATGGCAAACAATAATGCATCACTCGTATAATAATGAGCTCTTGCTGGTACTGTTATTATTGTCACTCATAGCTGTGCTTTGTGTTGGAGCAAAAACACATCCTGTGTGATTACAGCCTGAGAAGAGCACTGAGCAGCAACTGAATCCAGTTGTAGAATGCAGCAGACCTAAAGTACGGCTCCGCCTGCAAGAGGAATCATCGAGAAAATACATTTTTGATTCTCTTTCAGGAAAATTTTTTGTTCTTTGTCAGATGACCAGGAACGGTCCTGATAATTACTCTTGTGTTTTAGCAATGAGGGATACAAAAGAGAGAAAGAGGAGTTTATTTACAAGAAAACTATGTAGATTATTACTTTAAAAGTGTGTTTATGCAGATGTGACAGTTGCTATTTATTTGTCCATTACATTGAGACCGCCCAGCAGTCTCTTGATCTCCAATGGCTGTTTTCAGTCCAGGTGGGTAACAGTGTGGGGCAGGTGAGATTAGTTAAAGTTGCATTCGCTGGTGTCTCGCCTTGCTCGCATAACGCCCAGGCGGAGGGTCCTCCTGTGTTATGGTGTTGAGGTGATGCCCAGCCATCCGCTCTGCAGCCTTCAGCCTCTCTTGCAGCTCCTGCGCCTCCTGCTCGGCCTTGCGTGCAGCCTTGCGGGCATTCCTCAGGGAGCGCTTCACCTTCCGAACGCGCTCCTTCAGCTGCCGGTTCCTCCTCTCTGCCGCTGCCAGGCGCTCCTGCAGCCTGCGGCCTCGCTCCTCCTCTTCGAACAACGCGGCCTGCACTGAGGAACACAGCAGCTGGAGGAAGGAGGAGAGGGAAAGTGGTGCTGTAAGTTAACATACATGACATGTTGTTTTCTTAACAGGCAAACCAAACTGCAGTAAACCACCAGCTGCCTTCTCGTCAGCTGGTTGTGTAGTGCGGGAGCACTAGTGATGTGATTTTCCCAGCAGCCACTGGGAATGAATGAACTTTTTTGCCTTTGATCTCCAGAGTGTTATTATTTCTCCCTTTATCATGTTTTTTCTCCTGCATAGCCAAACACACTTGGAGGAGGGAGGATGGGGAAATAAAGTTGAGGGCCTGACTGGAGTCATTTACATGTATCCACTTCCAGTGCAAAAACATTAGAGGATGATGAATTCTGTTTATGTGTGTCTGTGTAACATAATTGCATCGCTTCAAGGACCACCCATCCCTCCCTGGCAATGCAAGGTTTGTGTACTTTGATGTTCCAGGGGCCCTAATTTTCCATCTCATGAGCTGACCCAAGTCAGCGGGGTTAACAGGGGCGAGTGCTCTCGCAGCCACAGTGGGGAATGCATGTCAGTTCATTTATGACTGCACTTTGTCAGAGGAACATACCTAAGGAAATCCTTAAACTCACACCATGTGCTGTATGTACATTATTGTCACCCTTACAAACCGACACCTTTCACAGCCATCATGCCTCAGTTGGGTTTAATTGTTCCTTGTGTTCCACTAGCACTTTGCTAACAAATATAGTCCACAGCGTATTCTGTATGTGAGTCAATGTGCGTTCCATTTGCACTCGGAACTTGTTTTCCGAGGTATATTCTGAGTTCCGAGACCAGAAGTGACAAATGGAAGTTCCTACTCGTCAACTCGGTCGAACGCAGAGGACCCCAAGTTCAGAAAGCAAGATGGCTGCAAAGTTCGACTGTCAGTAAAAGCTGGTGTTTTTAAGTTATTTTGAGCACTTTTGTCTTTGTGTTCAATTTAGTAAGTCGCATACATAGTCTACTGTTCTACCGTTGCCCAAAGGCATGTTGCTACGATCATGCTATGAGTGAAATACCGTGTAATGTGTTGTTCATCAACTGGTGCTGCCGAAAATGGCTAGGTCGACGTTGCTAACAACAACAATGGTCGCTGTTGCTAAAACAACACGTACATTTTGTTGTCCGACCCGTTGTGTTCTGTGGCAAATGAAATGCATCCAACTCAGGTTTCCTTGTTTTTTTAATGGATATGACATCGACCCGAGTCCAGAGCTCCGAATTCCAAGGTAAATAGAACGCAGGGTTAGTGTATGAATTTGGCACAAGTTTTGAGGACTATGATTTTATTAAGAAGTACGAAAGTCTGACATTTTAGGAAATACACTCATTTGCTTTTTTGCGAGAGTTCGATGAGAAGGTAGATATCACTCGTGTGTGATTCAGGTATTGATCTAGAACCGGGGGACATTATGTTAGCTTAGCCTCAAGACAGGAAACATGGAAACAGCTAGCAAAGTTTAAAAAAATATCCACCTACCTACCACCTTTAAAGCTGACTAATTAATATGTTATATCTTGTTTGTTTAATCTGTACAGAAACTGGAGAGTAAAAATGATAAGTTGAGGTTTTACGTGAAGTTTTACATGCTACAAATTGAGCTCCTGAAGGGATGAAAGTGGTATCAATCTTATCTGCAAGAAAGTGAGGAAAGCGTGTTTCTCAAAATGTTGAACTATTTGTTTAAAGCTTGGGGTGGTTGCTTGATTGTCTCAGGATGTCTCATTCAGCCACTGAGGTAAGTGCTAGCTTTCCATCTAAGCTACGCAGTCCCCTAAATGTGGATTTCCTGGCATCATGAGTAAGAATGGACACCATAAACACCAAAAACATCTACAAATCCATCTTTACATGCAATGACCGATTTGAATATTTATAATAGTGAAATATACTTTTGACATGCATACTTCTGATATGCAAAGATTTAGCATGTTCTGGAAAATCTTAAAATTAAGGGTCAGTTGACATAAATTAAAACAAACCTTTTCATTGAAGCTACTTTTTGCTGAAAAAAAGTCTGCGGGTTATCCTAAGTGATGGGGCTGTTGGTTCTGGAAAGAGACATTTAATTTGTTTTGAAAATAAAAATTCCATTCACCTTACCTTTACTTTAGTTGAAGCAAAAATCTCGGAGATGGATATCCAAAAACCTGGACAATGGGGCCAAAACAATTTAGGCTACATAAATATGATTTATTTCTTTTCTTTTTTTCCTTATTACCATATTGCATAACATTGGTTAAAAAAAAAAAAAGAAAAGAAAAGAAAAAGAATTACAGTTTGATCCCTTTCGTACTCATAGGAAGGCTCTCAGCATGACAACCCTTACACAGACCTGCTCACACAAACACCACCTGTCAAAACATCCGAGTGTTACCTGCCTGCTGTTTAGCATCATCTGTACAAACAGTATTTAGAGGGAATGTGAAGACACACACATACCCGTACAATATGTTCTCAATTTCAAGTGTACAACAATTTGAACACAGAGGCAGTGTCTATTTTGTCCAAAACTCTACCAAAGCTGCAGAATGTCAAAATTAAGGATGCATTTAAAGCTGCACTTAACAATATTCTAACACTATCAATGAAATAAAAAGGAGTCGTCCGTTTTGACAAACCCACATATAGATAATTGTCGCTTTGCAGTTTTCCTTCGCCTCTGTGGTGCGTTTCAGCATCTTTCAGCTCATTGTGTTGGTTTTGGGAGCAGCAACTTTACTGTTTTGGTTGAGTGTCAATCATGGTTGTTTCAGTTAAAAGGTTTTGATATGCCTGCTGTGCGCTACCTGCTCAGCACGAAACAGCAGACAGACACAGTTAGAGATAAGCTGATGAACATAGTGGAGCATTTACCTGCTAAAGATATTTCCCCAGGGGTTGGTGGAGACCAAAAACCGAGCTAAAAGAAGAGTAAAGATTAGACTTATATTTGTCAGCTGGCCAGAAACACAACCCAAAATTGATGCTAATGTTGCTCTGTAATGACTGGATGTATAAATTAGCAACTATTGCCAGCATGATTTGCCATATCATCTTATAAAAATTAAATAATAATAATTAATTAATAATTGATAAATGATCAATGTCAATGTTGTGTTTTGCCAGTTGTGCTGCCCCCATGTGGCCTAAAATATAATAATGCAGCTTTAAGCAACTGTACTCCATATCACAATTGTGCACTTATCTTCATTGTGAGCAAACTGCTTCTTAGATGGCAGTATGTGTTCTGGACAAAACTGCACATCTCCCTGCATTTATATTAATTCATCGCCAGATAGATTAGAGCGAAAGAAAGGAGACAGGGTCAGTGAAAGAGGAAAAGGAGAGCAAAGAACTGTAGGGATTGAGAGACCTGCCTCTGTGTGTGTCCAGCCTGACCTGACTGCTCATTTATTTCTGCAGACTTTTGATTCTTCTTTCTAACTTTATATGGAGACTCAGCATGGGTCCCCCCTACACGCACACATTTGGTGTCTTTAGAGCTTCACCATTGACGTCAAAGACACAAGCCAGGCTTTCTCCTCTCCTGAGGTTTATATTGCTGTGTGTGTGTGTGTGTGTGTTTTAGTGCGTGTGCATGGAGAAAGATAATTAGGAAACAGAGACAGAAAACAAGACAGAAAGAGACAGTGAGAGATGAACAGATAAAAAAGAACAAAAGGGAGGCAGATAGAGAAAGAAAAACAAAGACGAGGCAGCTTTTAACTACTGAGTGAAACAGGAAAACTGTGTTGTCTTCTTTTAATCCCTCTGAGCGTCCACATTAAGTATTAATGAGAGTTGTGTTAAAGGTGTTTACATGACAGTTGAAACTAGGGTGGTCCCTCACTGTGGTTATAGTCAAATCATCCCATGTAACCATGGAAATGTGCTGATTAAGAAGAATTTGGAAGGAGAATTTGTCTTTATCTTACTGTGGCCTATCAATTCAAGGCTAATGGGCCCAAAATAAAATCTGAAAAAGGTTGGATATCTTTCAGGAAACAAACAGAGGAACAGTGATCTCTACCTCTGGCTCAATCTGCTCTGAGTGCTGCTAATAAGAGGAGGTTTTGAACAAACGCTAATTGAAGGTTCTGGCAGAAAAGTGGTCTCTTGTCTATCCTTCTGGAGGGGTGTCTGGTTCCCATGAGGCTGAAACCAGAAAGCAAACCACCTCCAATTTTAGGGATGTTTTGTGTTTAATTTCCTTCTGAAGCGAGTGACGCAGCTTGGGAAGCACTGTCAAAATCTAAGAATTCTGTATAGTGAAATTAGTAAAGAGATCATGTTCTTGTTGTTTTTAATTTCTTTTCATTTACAGCCCAAGTAGAACCGATGGAAAGACGGAGACGATCGCTTTTCTTTTGCTTCAAATCTGATACTTCCAAATTCAAAAAGACAAGGAAAACACTGAGGGCAGAGACATGAAGCGGAAGATGAAAGTCCTTCCATTTCTTACTCCTCCATAAATTCCCAGAGCAAAACACCTGTTTAGTCCTGCCTTGCCTGAAGGTTATGGCCTCTACATGCGAGTGCTCGTTCTCTAAATGAGCAGTCTCTTTAACCCCTGCCTCACTGACCTTTGGCCATATAGCTCACAGGCCAGACCCGGCAGGTCAAACCTGAAGAGAAAGGATGAAGAAGACACCACGCCACCTTTCCTGATTTAGCTCTGCATTTCTGACTGCCAACAGTAAAAAAGTGCCATAAATCTACAATTAAACAATTAACCATGTCTTTCTTAACAAGGTGCACTATCCTGACTGTTAACGCAGTGATGCTAATACATGTCTATTTACCCTTTTCTATTACAATTTACACAAATAGGTGCACTGTGTCGATTCTTCAATTACTCAAGTCCAGGTCACATCCCAAGTCTCAATTCCTTTACGATGAGTAAAGTCAAAATAACAAAAAGTCATTTGAAGTCTCAGTCAAAGGCTAAAGTCTGAAAGCGTTACAAAGCCTGTCTGTTTTATTTATTTATTATTCCAGGATTTTACCAGTAAAAACCTGAGGCTTGAAAGCAAAAATATTCAGGTCTCAAGTTTTTAACCGGTCAAGTCAAGACTATGAGGAGTGTCTCTAAAGTCACGTTTCAAGCTCAAATTTTTGAGACTTTCAACCAGTCAAAATCTCCAGTCTACAATTTTTGTGAATTTAAAGTTACTATGATGCTATATGAAAACATCCATTTTGTGTTTCTTCAGAGGCGTCACACAAATATCTAGACCCTGTATATAAGCATTCTCTATGGGCCCCTTTTTGCACCCACAGCTATTCGTTCTAGTATCTTTGTGGGCCCTCCTCACATTAGGGCCCACGTGAGGGCCATGTATTCTCTCCCAGTCCTACGCCCCTAATGAAACCTTTTCAACATCTAAACAGCTGCTCTTGTATCCTTTAATAATTGAGGGCAAAGACTTGTGTAGTTCCATCTACAGCCGCCGTGTTCTGTCTTGTCTGAAGTGTGACCTGCTCAGCTCACTCAGAGCAGGTGTGATAATAAATGCCTGAATCACAGCAGAAGACCTTTCTTCTTCTGTTGACAGAGTTCAGCTTATCTCTGGTCCCAGGTCAGCAGGCAACGTTACTTCATACTGATATGAATCGAAGCTGCAGACTGACACTCTTTCAAACTGCTGCCTGTCAAACATGTGGATCTCTGCTATTTGATCTTTGACCCCTGGATTGCTAGCATCCTGTCTGCCTTAAGAGCCAGATGGACAGAACTCAACCTATCAGTAACTGCTTTGATCATCTATAATCAACTCTTCTTCTTCTTCTTCTATTTTTCGTTCTTCTGAAGATCAGAACAGTGAGGTGTGTGTGTTTAGCTCTGCACTGTGCCAGAGGAGAGTTAAACTGTGTATCTAATGATCCTCACCACATTCCTGTCAGCAGAGTCACAACTCAACTCAGGATTAGGTGTCCACATGCACAAACAATCAAACCCACAAAGCCTCACTCTGCTGTGTCACTTTTCTTCCAACATACACTGCACTGCACATTCACATTTTTGCTACAACTACAAAATGTAGGTCCTGAAGCAAGAATATTACTAACAAACCAAAACACCCCAACAATAGTTTTTAGTCCCCCCCCCCACCTCCAGTCTCCTGCACCCTGCTGTCCGTCTGGACTGTTAATGTGTTATCTTCATGGTAACAAGATAGTGTCGGGTTTGTTTACATCCTCTACAAACACCAAAAAAGCTGACCTGACTGAAGTTTTTAACCTGGGAATCGGGCCACTTTTGTTGTCATGCATTACTATTAAATCAAGCTGCCCAGCAGTCCTCAGGGTCATTATTCTGTTAGTTAGAACACTTTGTCTTCAACAGGTTGTGCATGATGACATTGCACTAGACGTGAAAAAGGTGTGTGTGGTCGAAACAATGCGAAGCCTTACCCTGCTGTCCTCTTGGGTGTCCCACTCGGGGCTGAAGGTGTGGAAAGGCTGGCTGCCTTGGGTGCAGTTGGAGAACTGGAAGAGGCTGGAGAACGTGCGCCTGTTCTCGGACGTGTCGGGGAAGATGGCGTCCTGGAAGTTGACGCCGTGGGGCAGGATGTTGTAGTTTTCATCCATCCTGCAGAGGAGATAAACAGGAAGGCTGTGAGGAGAAAGCTGAAGCTGCTGCAGGAATCACTGGGATGTACAGTAGCTGTGGTTTTTAATTTGCATCAACCAAGTCAAATGTGGCTTTGCAAGTTTCATAGCATTTCATAGGTTAGAAATGCATCATATTTGATGAGCAGGTAGTTTACTTTGCAGGTAAATTCTTTTGCAAAATAACCAGGGACTACAGGTGATGGTGAATGAAAAGTTTCAAGTGGTATACCTCAAAATTATATTTAACAATGGTGTTCTTTACTCTTTTTCTGACTGTAGATCAAAGTTTGCTCCCAAACAAAATGACAAAAGACAAAAATGCAAAAGAGTTATTAGAGTGTTAGTTGCTATTTTGCAAAAGCCCTTCTAGGGAAGGGTGTTGCTAATTAGCATCTGCTATAAACACTGTGATACATGCATTGGATAGCTGTTGCGTCCCTCTGTGTACATCTGTCTCTATCAAATAAACCATAAATAAATGAAATGCACATCTGTCTGGCAAAAAGTTTTAATGGAAACAAAACGTTCTGATTGTTGTAAGCACTGTTTGGATTAGTGTTGCCAAATGTCTGTTGGAACCATTTGGATAAATGTGCTATGCAATTCACCTGAGGAAGAAGAAGTAGGAGTAGTTCTCCATTACGGTGTGGGACTGGCAGGACAGGTACCCCAGTCCGGTCAGATTGAGTCTTGATCCAGTGGGCACCTCCAGCATGCTGCCCCAGGCCTGGTCGCACAGCAACTCCACCTCCGCTGAGTATAGCAGCCCTTCCTCCGCGCCCTCGTACCCATACCCGAACCCGAAGGGCAGCGAATTGTACAGGCTGCCCGCCCCTCCGCCCAGGGTCTCCCGGTGGATCGCCAGGACCCGGGCGTACACGATGATCTCTGCCAGCTCCGCCCGGCAGCCCTCACTCAGCGGCCGCCACTCAGTGGGGAGCTGGCACCCGTGCGTAAAAGTAACCAGATGCGCAAAAACGCCGAGGAAGAGAGCCGTGGAAAACATCCTGAAGAGCCCGAGAAGAGTTACAAGTTTCCAGCAGTGTTAATCCCTGTGGTGATGCTTCGCTTCAGAAAAAAACTCGTTTGCTGTTTAATACTGGAGGCCAGTCTCTTCGAGCATCCACGTTGCTGAAAGAGAGTTGAAAATTAAAACAAAATAGCGTTTGCGTTTAAAGAACTAAACCCCTGTATTTGTTACCTGGACGCTTGAGGATGCTGTAGCCTACCTGACCAAAACCATGCAATGTAATGTTTTACACAAAATAATCAACCGCAGTGTTTTTGTCCATTAACCAAACTCAAACAGCTCTTCTCCCCTCCAGAACTCACCAGTCAAATCAGTTTGCAGTAACCTGAACTACTCCAACCTGTTGCTGTGCTCCAAATGTTTCCATCTCATCTGTTTTCTGGGAGTCACACTCTTCAGAAGGGCGCATGGATGCTGCGTTCATGGACTGATGTGACGCTCCGTCGTTTGATTCTCCTACACGGTCTCATCTCAGTGCGTAAATACCAACGCTTTGACCATGTGAGATGGTTGGTGCGTTTGAGTTGACTATTTTGTCGGGGATCATAAACGTTAATATTTAAAACCTGTTCAACCCGATAATGTTACCAGCATTTCAAAGCAAACAGCAGGGCAACCCATACATCCTAAATAAAAAGTAGCAAATAATGGCTATTTTAGCAAACTGCAAGCATTACATTTTAACACTAGATTTCTAGATTTTTGGGATGTGGACAGAGGCACGGTCATCGTCGAACTGAGCTCAGAAACTTTTGGCATTTGGATACAGTTCTTGAGAAATATACACTTTCTGATAGCGCATTTGAAAGCGTCCAAGGGGAAGTCAAAGTAATATTGGAAAGTGGTTTCTAATGTTGGAGAGCTTGCCCAGAACAAGCTCTTTGGGGGCTTACTTGAGACTAAGTGCAATCTGGAAAATGTTCACAATTAGCTTACATCACTTATTGATTATTGAACAGTAATAGAACAGATAAGATAAGATAAATATATAATTCTCTCCACTATCACTCCTGTAAATATCCCGTATTCAGTTCTATTGGCTAATAAATCTCTATTGTACTGCAGAACCACAGAACTACAGAAACTACATTTCAGTGGGGTCTATTTTTACAGCTTTGGTTTTTTTGCTTAGATGACACTGACATCCAATGGACACTGACATGAACAGCATGTAGCATAAAGTGTATACACTGTGTATATGCTATGTATTATTATTAATTTTTATATAGCCTATTGCAATTGATTATCTGAAAAAAAGTGAATAAAAGCTGTAATAATTAATATTTGCTTAATGGTCCACTTTGTAAACACGTTTCGATTAAAGGGAAAAAATGGGTAGGCATATTGTATTCCATTAGGCTTCCTATTTTATAGTGACCATGATGTGTTTTTATGAAATAATATTTTAAGATATTACATCAGGATTAATTCTATTTTAATTATTTTAATGTTGCTGTTACCAAAACATGGTTGTCTGAGCAGGTTAGGGAATCTCCAGTCTTTCCTTTCCCGTTTTCAAAGTGCAAGGTGACTCCTGAAGGGAAATCCCGCTGTCAGTTGATGGCTGGCCCCGCCCTCAGCTGCCAGGCGTGCCCTGATGTGTAAAATATGCGGATGGACCTTTGGACACAGCGGCTCTGTTCACACGCAGCTGCAGTTTATCCTCAGATCTACACGGCGACGTCACATCGAGGAAATGCAAACCTTAGTAAAATACAAACAAGCGTTTTCTGTGACAATTAGGCCCTATGGGGACAGGAAGTAAGTCAAATGAACCTTCAAAATAAAAGCTCAAATATAGGTTATATCAATATAATAACATTGGGGATTATGTAAACAGCGCAACGACATACATGATACATAGGCTACAGCATGTAGGGAATATACATATATATGTGTGGGATTTTTAAATTAAATGCAACAGAAGTTTAAAAAAAAAAATCAAATTCGAGTTGTTTTACTAATTCATTTTCCCTGTTTCCCTGTGTATTTTCTGTTTTTTTATGTCAAGTTTTCAATTTAGTACGGTAACCTATACAGATAAATATAAATTATATTGACACAGGGCTAATATAAATTACTGGCAAAGGTTATACCAACTTCACGCCGATTTTTATAAAAGTGTGGTTTTATTTTTTAAAACTTCTACCGGAAGCTTATTGTTTCTGTACGTGGTTTGACTTGATGTTGCTTAAAAACCAGAAGCAGGACCAGAACGTTGGTCGAGACATTTTGCTGTCTCTCCGGGCGTTTATTTGTGTTTTCGGGAGTGAACATCAGGACAGTGTTTAGTTCAGGAGTAGAGAGCTGGTGAGTTAAAACATTTGTACTGTTTTTTAAGTGTTCGATATGACGCAGTTTGGCTCACGTGGAACCATATCCGTGTCGTGTAAGTTGCTGGTAACTTTTTAGTGTTTACCAAGAGTCCCATACTGTTAGGCCCACCTGAGGAAAGTGAAAGTAAAATTATACGACTACATATCAACAAAAATATAACATTTTAGCAGAGCGAGTATGTCTGTGGTATTCAGCGGTGGGTTTAAAGTGTCATTTTATCTCACTGGTGTTCAGTGTTTTAACATACACTTTACCCGTGATATCTCCTTTTACATGCATTACAATAATTCTTGTACTTTATTTATGACGGTCTTTCAGTTAGGCCAGTAAGAGGACAGAAGCAGACCACACGGTGTAACTATAGCATACTGATTTCTCTGTTATTGTAATGTAATTGAATTATCATGTGACCTGCTGATGAGATAATCCCTTTTAACTGGCTGTGTGCTGCTGCTCCTCTGCTGCTGCATGCAGGAATACTGAGTCACTTGGTGATGTCAGCATGTGCTCAGTCATATTGTGTGGTAAAAACCTTCCCATAAAATGACAACAATTTTAATAGACAAGCAAAAATGAGGGATTCAGTTGCTCTATTTGTTCTTGTGAATATGATGGTCTTCAGACAGCATAATTAATCTCTAAATCAAGTAAACGCTGACCCCTGCTAACTTGGTGTGTGCAACATAATCACAGTGTCATTTCTACAGGGAGAGATCACAAGTCCAATATAACACAACACAAATAGATTTATTTGCTAGTGGAAGAAGTGATTCTCAAGCTCTGCAACGGTTCAAAAATGCACAGTGTGTAATATTTAGGAGGTCAATTGTATTTATTACCTTAGAATGAGCCATTTTTACACCGCGGGTCCTCTTACATGGAAGTCTCCATGTTGCGCTGCCATGTTTCTACAGTAGCCCAAACTGACAAATGCTCTGCAGGGAGCGTTTCATCACTACATTGAAGTAGTAGTAGCAGTTGTAGTAATAGAAGTAGTTGACTGGTTTATTAGAAGTAAGAAAAGGAGAAGATTTGGACAAATTGAGGACCATAGCCTCTCCTGCAAGGGGTGACCGGTGACTGATGGTGCATTCACGGGGTGTTGGAATAATCAAAATCTTTTCCTCCAAAGAATCTGTATTGCAAAAAGAGAAATAAAGTGTACATGGGACATAAAGAAATATAAAGAACTTTGATCCGTGTAAAATCACGTGTTACATATTTTGCTCACATGTAATTTGTAATATGGTTATAACGGTTAGTTTGCTGTCCATGTAGAGTGAACTTAATGTCATGCATGTTGTTTATACGCTCTGATAATGCTAATCCAACACATCTTTGTAGTAGCGTCCATGTTGAATCCACATTCCGACTCAACAGCACATGAAACACACTGAAGTCGGAAGAACCACTTCACAACTCGGGAAATGGGGCCATCCGAGGAGCATGTGAATGCACGTGAGGTGCTGTTTACCTCTAAAACTTTCACACTGAACCTTTAAAGCCAGTGTGTACAATTTGAACTTTTGCGCCGTCCATTGGTAGAACTGAAAAGAGGTTGTGGCAGACTGCAGTGTCCATCATCGCCCCTCATTCTTCAGTGAATACTGTGTTGTTAGCACTATAGTACTAATATTCAAAGTAGGTACAGGATCAAAATGTGATGCCAGTGGATGTATTTTTATTTTAGATACATATTTATTTTTAACACAGAACTTATTTTCAGCATTAAAAAAACAACCTTATTTTAAGTAAGTTATTTGCAGTACACACAAAATGACAAAGCAATAACTTCTTACATCTTATACGTGTGTCTTTCTGTCTCCTTCTTGTCTTCTTCTCAGCACCATGGCGTCTGGAGGCCCCATGATGAACGGCGACATATCTCGCTCTCCTAGTCAGTCCGGCACGCTGGAGGAAACCCTGCAGCAGATGAACATCCTCATCCAGGAGAACCGAGACTTGAAAGGTGAGAGTAGGTGTGTGTAGGTGGCTGTCTGATTGAGGGCTGAATGGAATATTTTTTATTTGAGCTTTTAAATTGTTGCTGCTGCTCTGTTCAACAACAAAGATATATTTTTACGAGTCTGGCCAAAGGATCAAGGGTCAAAGGTCAGTGGACATTGTGTTCCTGACAGCTCATGTCAAGAAAGGCCTAAAAGGCATGCTATCTATGGAAAGGGTCCTAATTCAAATGACTTGGCTCATACAAGATGCATTTATTCAAATCCTCCATGTGTGTCTCTCGCTCAGAGGCCCTGCGTCAGACCAACCTGACGATGAAGGAGCGCTTCGAGGGTCTGTCTGCATGGCGGGAGAAGCAGCGGGAGGAGAGGGACTTCCTGGAGAGCAGGTTGGAGGAAGCTCGGGGCCGCATGGCAGCACTGACGCTCGAAAACCAGGAGCTGAGCAGGAGGATGGAAGTGGAGGGGAAGAACGGGGAGCCCTGGGAGACTTGCTGGTGAGTCTTTTCTTAGCCAGTGTTATGTTCCTGTGTCATTACACATGAACTAATAGATTTAAGCTTCTGTCAAGCTGCACTGTAACTAAATTAAGACTTTGACTACTTAATAATGTGCGTTGGTGGCGTGTGATGTTATCTCCAGGCATCCAATCAGAGTGCAGAGCTGGATGCCCTGCGTGCCCAGGTCGCTCGCCTGCAAGCAGAGAAGAACGACCTGGTGGCCATGAACTCTGAGCTGCAGCTGAAGGCGGACCAGGACTCGCATGACGACTCCTTCATTGAGATCATCAGGGTTTCGGTGAGGAGCAACACACACACATAAAAATAAATTACAAAGACGCTCATATAATCAGTGTTTCCTTCAAAATGTTCTTCTATGCAACATGGAAAGGCCTCATATAACACAAAAAGTCTTCACTTTAAAGTAGCATTAAAGTAGAGTAGTATTCATCAATTGTACAAATATTATGTGCTGTATAAAATAAATCCAGATGAGATTTTTAATAAAGATGCAGCTTTATTCTCTTTGATGAAATGAGACAGAAGTTTGGGATCTAACTGTGGTTTTTTTTCTTCTCAGGATGGAGGTGTCAATGGTGTGAACGACGTGTGCGGTTCAGAGCGCAGCAGACGTCCGGATCTGAGCATGACGGCGTCCCGGCTGGACAGCGAGGAGGTGACCGTCAGCCAGCTCCTCCAGTCACTGAGGAACGAGACGCAGCGGGCTGAGCGGCTGCAGGCCGAGCTGCAGTCCTCTGCTGCCAGGTAGAGGACAGCAACTTTAAAGGAACAGTTCACCGCTAAATAATCTACTCTCATCTTCACAGCTGAAACTCTTCTAATGGCATCAGAAAACACAAAAGTCTTCGTTTTTCCTCTGACATACTTTGTTTTTAA